GAGACATCTTAATGGGGGTGGGCATTTCAGGGTTAGGGAGAAAGCTATTGCCAGGGAAACTCCCAGGAATCCACGTGGATAACCTCAGCTAAGACCCACAGCAATAGTGGAGAGGGTGCCACAACTGGCCATCTACTTTAACCAGATTGGCAACTACCCTAATTGTCATTACAGAACTATCTCTATTTGCAGATGACATGACATTATAAAGAAGGGATCTCAAAAATTCTACTAGAAAACTTCAGCAAAATGTCAGGACAGAAAATGAACATGCACAAATCAATGGCTTTTCTATACACCCACAACAAACATACAGAGGAGGAGATCATGAGCATACTCCCATTCACAATATACTCAAGGAAAATAAACTATTTAGGAATAAACTTAACCAAGAATGAGAAAGACCTCTACAGTGAAAAATTTAAATATCTGAAGAAAGAGAGAGAAAGACACAAGAATGCAAGAATATGGGAAGAGATTCCATGCTTTGGGATTGGCAGAATTAGCACTAACTATACCAAAAGCAATTTATAGATTCAGTGTAAGCTCATTCAAAAATTCCTATCTCACTCTTCATATAAAATAAAAAAAACTATTCTAGAATTCATAAGGACCCATAAAGGAACCTGGATAGCCAAGTTAATCCTGAGTAAAGAGAATACTGGGGGCATTACCAGTAATATCTCAAGATATTCCTCATCCATAATACTAAAACCATATGGGACATATGGACCTTGGTAGCAACCAATGATTCTTTAATTATACTTAAGGTGCTATGAACAGAAAGGGAATCATGTATGTTACTGGAAACCTAGCAAACTCCATAGAGTGAAGTCATGGATCTTGGAGGAGAACCTATAACTGCCACTTTACTAAAGCAGCCAATTCTTAACAGCATTCTCAATATATATCCTAAAAGTCACAGAAAAGCATAGGTCTCACCCTTCATCAAAGAAACATCTTGCAGCAGATGGATACCATTACAGAAAACTCCAATGCAGAGAGAACGTGACTCCCTGGTGACCAACCCCAACAGCTACATCTATAATATGACACCTGTACAGAAGGCTCAGGGGTCATAGTGGGAGAGGGGGTATCAACTACACCCATTAAGTTTCATCAACATGACCTTCAGGTCCCTAAACAAGACCTGAAGAAAGAGGACACTAATCTTATGCTAACAAGAAAGTGAGGAATCTCACGAGACTTCAACTCTAGACAAATATCTATAGGCAGCTAAGGAACACTAAGACTAGGAGAAACAGTCTTCCCCAGAGAAGAGCCCCCAAATGTGTTATGCAATACCAAGAGGTCAGTCCTGAAATCATATAAATATGAGTAACATTGTACAGACAGGTTGCATTTATGTATTTAGGAGCACACTTACATATGTGGCAACAATTAAAGACATAGGGGTCATGAATTTGAGAGATAGCAAGCAGGGGTACAGGAGAAGTATTGGATGGAAGAAAGAGATGGGGGGATGTGATGTATTTTAATTTCACAAAGAAAAAGTAAGTAAACTATTTCAAATGGGTGCGACATTGGCATATGGGAAAAATGATCATGAGTTAAAGACACAGTAATAAAATAGCAAACTGAGCCCAGAGAAAAACAATTCCATAAACATAATAGAGGCATCAAACTGGCATGGCTCAAGCACAGGTCCAACATTGGTAGCAGGGCACCAGGAAGAGGGGAGGGAGCAGGAACTATTGTAAGAAACAGCAACCCATATGTGTTTTGATCTACAGACTTAGTAAGCTAAGCTCAAGATTCTATAGCACAAGGAATGTGAAGATGACCTGGGCACCCTATGCAAAGCTGCTCAAGACTGGAAAGACATGAACACAGTCATTGGTGTGGAAAAGCCACAGGGCTGAACAAGCCCATCACAGTAGATTTCTTCTTGTAAGTAATGTGGAGAAAATGGCAGCAGAGTACCATTTTTTAAAGATCAGAAAAACTATACTCAGTACATGGTATATTTAAGAAAGTGGAGTTTTTTAAATGAATGTAAAAGGAAGCACTTAAAATGTTTCTTGTAACTAAAGTGAACACAAGAACTAATTATAATAACCTGTCAGTACCTACCTGTGTATAATGGCCACAAATTTTAGAACAGGTCATATTCTCAAAATTATAGTGTTCATTTTCATTATACCAAGAAGAAATAGCTCTTTTTAGTGTAGTTCTTATTCCAGTTAAATACAAATTTTCTCCAATAAAGTCATAATCCTCAATGCATGCGTATTTTTTTCCCAATACAGGGGTTATGTAAAAACTGGCACTGTTTACTCCATGATTTGGCCAGTTTTGCTAAGTCCTTGTCCCAATTCTGAAAAAAAGAGAAAAAAACACACTAAGTTGATTAGTACATATTTGTTTACAATAAAATCATTCTAATAATCTAATAAATTAAATTTCAGTTAATTTTTAACTCTTTAGTAAAGACATCATTTTTTTTTACAAAAGCAATGAACTGGGTGAATCATATGAGATGCAGCTAAAAGAGAAAAAGAATAGACAATTGACTTAAGAGCCTTCTCCCCCTTAAACTCTTTGTTCTCGATAGCAACCCAGGTCCGTTCTCACCAGGGCATTCATATTGGCTGCTGAAGGGTTGACATTGCTTCGAATTTCATTATGGGAGTTGACAACCTCTTGTATAAATTCTGGGTCATGGATAGTTGGTAGCTTGGGAATTTTGTCCCATGCCTTAGAAAGTTTGATGACTACCAAAGATAGACCCAATGTCCAGAAACAATTAAGTTGTTTCATAAGGGCCATGGAAGGACGTAGGGCATAGCTTTGGTGAATATACCAGAACAGGCATTACACTCTACCCAGTCCCTGCCTTCTGATTAGGCTGGCATTCTGTGTAGTGAGCTGCAGACTGCATCCCTGCCTTCAGTGTTGTCATGGAGACTGATGCACAGCCTGAGTTCTGAGCCACAGTTCTGAGTCACTCACTGAAAGCCTGAGGCGCCCTCTGGTGCTCAGTTCACATAACACAGTGTCTGCATTGTGAAAGGGGATCTTGTAGTTGACAAACAAAATATCTTGACTTTGCTGCACATACTGGAGCAGGCGGTTTAAACATTGCAATCAGGAGACAGAACCAGGAGCCGGCAGATCTCTGTAACTGTGAGTTTGAGGCCAGCCTGATATGCACATCGAGTTCCAGGCTAGTCAAGAGTTGAGACCTTGTCAGACTAGGGGCAAAAAAGCAAATAATTTATGAGTTTAACAGAGTCTGTTGCCATGCTTAGCATTTTTATTCTTTTAAAATAAACTGCATTATTTTATCCTCTCTTCAGACACTGGGAACATAGACTGGGCAACTTTGAACCCTGTTACATCCTGTAATCTTCACTTATTACCTTGTCAAACATTTAGCATTTTGCTTCTATTTCCTTCTGACTGGTTGTCTGGGAAGATGGAAAATACTATATAGCCATGTGGGAAAATTACAGCCAATTAGTTTCTTCTGGTAAAAATCTTACCTTCTGATAATTAGGACCTACCTATAGTATGAATACTGGCAGATTGTGGAACATCTGCATTCTGAACAGTAAGGCTCTGAACACAGTATGCTGGTGCTCACTTTGCTGAAACAAAGTATACATCAACTTCATTTGAACTGATGTTTTAAATCTACTTGTCAGTTACCATTGTTCACCAATAGACCAGAACTTTTCTGTAACAGCTAATGATATTTTTCAGTATTTCTGGATGAATATCTGTAATACTCTGGTTGTTTAATTTAATAGTTAGGTTATTTGCAGTGCCATTTATTTCAAGTAAATATACCTTTACAATCACTGAATGGTCTGTCCTAGCCAGTTAATCTGGCCAGCAAAACAAAGGACCCAAAACTCATGTTGATGAAACTAGTTACCATTTTTCTTTAGCAGAAAGCAGAAATTAAATTATGAGATGAAAACAGAAACAAAACAAACAAACAATAACAGCAACAGCAAATCAGACCATCCTAACAGAATTCCTATGGAGTGAGAGAGGACATGTTTCTGATTCATTATCTGCTGAAGAGGGCTTGCCGTATGTACAGCTGGGGTGTCACACACATAGGTAAGCTGAGTTTAGCAAACATTGTTCGGTCAAGTGAACTTGGCTTGGTCTGTGTCCCTAACCTGCCTTTGAGTCCTGCATGAAGGAGACATTGGTGCATTCCAGGTACTGGGAAGTAAGATTTTAAACGAACAACTTTTTGTTCAATTTCAGATCTTGGGTCAGTAGTCACCATGGATTCAAGGTGGACTTGGTGGACTTGGTCCGTGTCCCTCATGGAACTTCAGTACTGAACTGTATTTATTAATCTTTTCTGTCTCCTTTGTTTATGAATGAGATTAGATTCCCTTGATTTCTCCCATTCACTTGTGTTCTGACTTTTGAAAATTTGCATAAACAAATTAAAAGTCACTGATACTTTTACTGGGAGAGAAACAATAGTACCTGGAGGTAGAAATGGTCAGTGTTAAGAAACAAGCAAGGGTGAAGCTATGACTAGTGGTTAAGAGCACCAAAGATGTTAGTCAGTAATAGAACCTAAGGCTAGCAGTGACATCTCACACTCACAGTGGTGTGAGTGGGCCAGGAGCCTTGCCAGCCCTCTCTTGCTTTTGTAAGTTCTTTATGTATTTCAGCCCAAGTGCAGGCATTGGCATGCAATCCAAAGCTCAGCTTTCAGCCATTTACATAAAATACCTATTCTTGAATTGCCAAACTTAGGTTTTAGGCTTTTTTTAGTCCACACAACAGATTGCTTCCTGAGGCCTCTATTTACTGTACCAGCAAGGGCAGAATATTGGAAATCGGTCTATAGACGTACGTGGCGTTGTATAAAATATTATTTTAAGTTCTGCTACATTTGTTTATGCTGTGGCATATTTGTTCCAAGATGCAAAGATGGGTTGCATTCTTTTATGTTGCATTTGTTTAACTCTGTGAAGCTGTGTTGCTTTGCCTGTCTAGAACTCCTGATTGGTCTAATAATGAGCTGAAGGGCCAATAGCAAGGCAGGGGAAAGGAGAGCTGGTGATGGCAGACAGAGAGAATAAACAGGAGAAGTCTGGGAAGAGGAAGAGATCAAGGAGTGAGAGAAGGAGGAGGACTCAAGGGGCCTGCCACTCAGCTACACAGCCAGCCACAGAGTAAGAATTAAAGGAAAGATATACAGAAATAGAGGAAGGTAAAAGCCCGGAGACAAAAGACACAAGATAATTTAAATTAAGAAAATTGGCAATAAACAAGCTAAGCTAAGGCCAGGCTATTATAAGTCATAATAAGCCTCCAAGTGTGATATAATTGGGAGCTGGTTGGTGGGCCCTCAAAAGGGTGAAAGAGGCAAAAAAAAATAAGTTAAAAAAAAAAACCAACAACAGCCAAGAACGCTTGGGTATGAATTAAGGCTCTGTAGTAGGTGGCATGAGGTTAAGCCAAGTGACATTCCCTTTTCTGGGTCTCACCTCACTCAGTGTAAAAATCAGATTCTTGGGAGATTTTAGCTTTTGAAGCCCCGTCCAAATCTGTAGATATTCTAATTGGGGTGCTGGTACTTTCTTATAGACTCCAGTGTGCCTCTTATAGCAACATTTCCCTTTTAGCACTCTTATTGCATCTTATTGCATCTGAATGAGTCACTTTTTAAAAATGAGTCACTTTTATGCTGAGACATTCTGAGTTAACTCATACATAATTGACTGAATTCTCCCATTTTCAAGGCTTTCTGCTGACTCCTGAGATACAAAATGAGCAGCCTCAGTAGTCATCAATTTCATAAGCTTGAGGATTTACTGGAGTCCTTGTCACTATTCAGTACTACAAGCACCTTGCCCCATTGTTTCTAGAAAGACTTGCATGTTGGCATTGTGATTGTCATAGATGTAGAGAAAGGAATCCAACATGGGCATATCCAAGTGTATATGGAAGTTTAGGATGAATTAATGTGACTACTGAATAAATATTTACTAAGAATGTATGTTATATGAAGGGCAGTAAGTGCCAGCCTTTGTGGTGGTGATCGTACATAGGAATTCAGGGAGTTAATGACACCGGAGAGCACAGGGGACAGTAGGAGCAGGACATTACGGACCTTTAACTTGTTTTTATTAATTGAAAACCAAGTCTAGTGATTTAAAATGTCACAGTTATTTGCAATGGTAACAATACTTACTAAGGTATGAAGTTGGGAGGCTGGTAATGTGTCAGAGAAAGGTACACGTTAGCTGCTCAGTGTCTCCATCTTAACTTTGGCTTGTGTATTAGTTATTGTTCTATTGTAGTGAAGATGACTGAGGCAAGGTATAAAAGAAAGCAAACTGGTGGGCCCGTGGGGGTACACAGCTTAATTCCAGCACTTGGGAGGCAGAGGCATGTGGATCTCAGTGAGTTCAAGGCCAGCCGGGTCTACAGATCAAGTTCTAGGACGGGCTCCAAATCTACAGAGATACTTTGTCTTGAAAAAACCAAAACAACAAAAAGAAAGAAAGCAAACCGGGGCTTGCTTTTAGTTTCAGAGGGTGAGTTCATGACCATCGTGGCAGGGATCTGGGCAGCATGGCACTGAGCGATGGGTGAGAGATTACATGAGGCTGGGTCTGATGTGGGCTTTAGAAACCTCAAAGCACACCTCCAAAGGCATACTTCCTCCACCAAGGTCACACCTCCAAATCCTTCCTAAACAGTCCACCACCTAGGGACCAAACATTGAAACGTGCTAGCCTATGGGAATAGTTCTAATCAAAATCAGCATAGCTTGTCAGTTGGTAATCTTGGTAAATACAGCAACTTTATCTGGGATTAATGCGTAGCTTAGGAAGTTAGGCAGGTGCCAGAACCACTGGACTACAAGCCTACCCTACAAATGTGTGATATGACCAAATCATGGACCTTAGGCTTAGAACATAAAGCGTTGCTTTTTATTTTTTGAAAGGTCACTGAAAAGAGAGCCATCTGAAGTGTCAATAGGATTATTTTCAAGTTTGATTTGTCCTGTTTTCAGAATATGTTTATTCTGGGTTGTAAAATATTCTTGAATTCTCTTTTTTGTTTAGAAACAATCATTTTATGTATCAATTCCCCCATTCCCTGTCCCTTCCTCCTCCCATGCCTCCTACCAACCCCTTAACTCCTCCCCTGACCGGCTCCACAAGGATGGTGAGGCCTTCCATGGGGATCATCAAAGTCAGTCACATCATTTGGGGGAGGGCCTAGGCCCTCCTCCATGTATCTGGACTGAAACAGTATCCCTCCAAAGGGAATGGGCTCCCAAAGTCCATTTGTGCACTAGGGATAAATACTGGTTCCACTGTTACAGGTCCCATAGACTGCCTAGGCCTCCTAACTGGCACCCACATTCAGAAGGTTTGGTTCAGTCCAATGCTGGTTTCCCAGCTTTACAACTGGGGTCCTTGTGATCGCACTAGCTCAGGTTAGCTGGTTCTGTAGGTTTCTTCAGCACAGTCTTGACTTCTTTGGTCATCCTTCCTCCCTTTCTACAACTGGATTCCAGGAGTATGGCTCAATGCTTAGCTGTGGGTACCTGCATCTGCTTCCATCAGCTACTGGATGAAGGCTCTAGGATAACAATTAAGGTAGTCATCAATCTCATTATTGAGGAAGGGCATCAAAGGCGGCTTCTCCACTACTGCCTAGATTCTTAATTGGGGTCATCTTTGTGGATCTGAACATTTCCCTAGTGCCAGATATCTCT